TTTTTTTTTTTTTTTTTTTTTTTTTTTTTTTTTGGTTTATAATGAACAGGCATTTGAACAGGGCAAACAGGACGGCCGCAGCAGTGAGCATGAGATCATTGCAGCAGAGTAGCAAACTGGCACCCTGCCTTCTCACCCTTTTGGTTCAGGAGACAAACGTGTGCAATCCTCATTTCTAAAGTCAGCTCAGCCTGGAAGGATTCCTGGTCTCTCCCACCTTCTACCATTCTGCTGCCAGGGACAGCAAGGATTGGTGCAGCTTCTGCGCAGTGCTTTGTGCCTGGAATACCGAGAAGGAAGAAAAAGAAGACAAGCACCCTGGTCCTTTTTTTCCAAGAAATAACAGGAGCCCTGAAGAAAAAAAAATCTGAGTTTGTCCTACTTCATGCAACAGTGCTGAAAAAAAATGAGACGCTCCTGCTCAAAAACAAAAACAAAAACAAACAAACAAAAATCCAAACCAAAACAAACCAAAAAAAAAGCAAACATTGGCTTGTATACCTACAGAGACATCGGGCTTTGTAAAGCAGCTTTGTAAGGCAACATAACCAAATGAGCCTTCCTTATTTTTATTATTTCAAAAAATATGGCATAATTAGCAATATATTGCACTTGGTGAAATCGCACCTTTCATATCAGGTATAACTTTTTTTGTTGTTTCTTTTTAAGCCTACTCTTATATAAAAGGGGAACCTTGAACTTTCAATGTACTCTTATTTAGCTCATCACCCACTTTACTCTTATTAACTTTTTCCTTTTGCTGTCTTGCTCTAATCCTGATTAGAATAGAAACTTAAGTAAAAATAGAAAAATGTCTATGGAAAGGACGGTACATGTTTTTACTTTTGTTATACATCGAAGTTTGGAAAGACATTAATATGTTATCTATGCTTTTCATGTACAGTATTAGTTTTTGCTATCTAAGAAAAGTGAGCGTTTAGTCCTAGCTGTTTAAAGAAACTAAAGCTTTCGTTTGCTGTGACTCATAATTTGAAATGTGGAAGAAGAAACTTTTTGAACTTCTAAAAAAAAAGGGGTCATATTAGAAGATACATTAAACTACTGACAAATAAAATTAGTTTGGGGGAAGTTATATTTAAACTATTTACCAGGATTTCAGTATAACCGAAATAGAGATGTAAAGATCATGTTCTCAGTTGCTAAGTAAAAAAGAAGCTTGTTTCACAATAATACTCTCTTTTAAAATATATTTTAAAAGAAGCATTTGTCTTAGGGCAGTTCCAGAGAGCGCTAGAAATATCCATTAAGTATTTTAGTGGAAAAAGTACATACAAACTTGTTTTAAGTTTAAAGCAATGATTGGCTCAGTAGATAAATGCATTGCATTCTAATTATTTTGTCTATTTGTACAAGTAAATTGCTAAGCAATTTAAGCATTTCATAGCAAAACCCAGTTTTGCCTGGTTCAGTGGGAAAGGATTAGCAGATGTATTCCACCTATTTTAATTTTGATTAAAACTGTTTCTAAACATGTTTAAAAATTGCTAAAAAGAGAAAGTGCTTCTTAAAAATACAGCGTATATGAATGAACACTATGATTTGCATATTAAGAATTGGTGCTCTAATATTTTCCACGAAAAGAATAAACTTTAAGCAAACTGTTGTGCTTTTAAAATCATATTTTATCATATTGACAATATGTGGGGTAAACAAAGAGAAAAATATTATAGAACTGATGCATTCTACCTTCTTTTTTGTTATTCCATGAAGAATTATGGGAAATTGCAATTACCCTATATACTGATAATATTCAAATAAAACGTTTTATTAAGTTTATCGGTTATTGTTCACTAATTATTTAAAAAATAGCCCTTGCTCCTTCATGCTGCCTCAGCTAATGGAGCATCAACTTTCACAGGCTTAATTAACATTTATAAACCTGTTTTCATGTTTCAAGATCCTTTAGTTGAAAAACATTATTTTAAATGTTATTTTTAGGAGCCATTAATCTCTACACTCTTAATTATCTTATTAAGCTCCATGCCAAATCCAAATCTCTTTTCAGCTTTCACTAGTTCATTGTGCAAAACCTAGTCGCTTCTTTAACAGCCATGCCTCCTTTCACTTTCAAAACTGTTACTGTGAAAACAACACCAACCAAAATGAACGCATAAATGCAAACTATGAAACCACATTATATGTCATATGAGTAGCCTTGGGTGGGGCTCTGTGAGTCTTCCAAGCCTTTAAAAAAAATACTTTAAAAGGTTTTGCCCATTTTGACATTGTGTTTTGTTCTCGACCGTCTACCTTCATTCCCACCATCCAGCCAGATGATTCTCCTAGACAGCAGTTGTCTGATATTTCTCCTTTTGTGGTTGTTTTAGGGAAAAACTTAAAATGGATATGAGAAGTGAAGAAAGTGATCATAGGAGAAAATCATCTCAGGTAAAAACAAAAAGCAAAAGAGCAATTAATATTTAATATTTTTAAAGAAAAAAATAAAACAATTTTGACTGTGTTTAGTGATAAGAATTCGTTTCATATTCTCTATGGATCTAGCTGTTGGAATTTTCATTGATGGCTTGAGAATTTATACTGTTACCTACCTTTGTGAAAAATTTTTGTCTGAGTTTGTGATCAGTGTGCAGTTTGAGTCCCTTTGAATTCTGTATCTATATATCCATTCATGTAGCTATACATCCATTCATAGAACGGTTGAATAGAAAGTAATTTAGAAAAAGAAAATATATATTTTTTATTTGTCATACCATATAAAAGGAAGTGAAATCTGGGGGGAGGGAATAAAGTTGTGCTGTTTTCAAAAATTGATCTACTAAGATAATGAAACCAAAATATACATTCTTATAGTTATGATAAAACCCAAAACAAATGTTGCTTTTTATTTCACATCTAAATTTATTAATATATGTTGAGACATTTTTACTATAATTAAATGCATGATTGTTGATTTTTTACTGTGGTTTTTAATAAGTATGGCAATAATTAGAAAACAAATAATGGCAAAAATTATGTAGACCAAATCATCTATTTAAAGTTTAAGAAACACATTTCATTTATTTCAAAACATGCAAAAAACACTAAGTAATTTTTATGTAGTGTTACTATTTTTCACAATGAAGATATAATTTAGAAATGCTAAATATTGTGGATATGAGTGATACGATTAATGATTGTACAACTTACAATGTTGTTGCTGTTGAGCTTAAAATCTTTTAAAAAACGTGAGTGTGGCTGGCTTTATGTTTATTCTTTGTGTGTTTGCTTATTGTCTGGTGGTTTAAAATTTTTTTAGTGACAATTTATTTTTGCCCAACCTGTTGACCAGGTAAGAGTTGTATGTAGCTATATAGTATGTTTAAGAATATCTTTTTTTGAAAAATAAATTTAAATATATTGTGTTGAAGAGGCAAGATATATTCTCTTTTATGCAATAGATCTGGAGTATAAATTTTAGTAGTAGTAACATTGCCAGTAGTAATAATGCTTGTTAGTATGTCATTAATTTTGGTTTTCTGATAATAGTTTATCCAAATATAGTTAATTTCAGTTTTAATCCAACTATAGACACATATGTATACATTTAATACTTTTCAATAACTTCCTGCGTTCTCTGTCTAGTCAACAGAATCTTACTTGTTTTATGAGAAAGTTATAATGTTACCCATTCCTTAAAACCACTAACCGAGGTTTTATAAAAGAGTTAAAACAAGCACAGTCTGACTCTTACACAATTAGCTTAATAGTTAATTTGGTCTTAATTATAGGCTGGTAGTACTACATTCATGCCTCACAATTACATAATTCATACATGCATGTATATATCCTTTTTTTTCTTTTAAAACTCGTTATTAATTAGAACAGTCCAAATACAAAATATTCAGTATTAAAACAAAATTTATCTGTGAAAAATATTTCAATATACTAGTCTTTAAATTCTCATGTATAGAAACCTGTATTTAGTGTAGGATATTTATGAAGGCCTTTAACTGGGAATATGTATACTAAAAGCATTTTAGCATTTAAAATATTTATACTAAAGGATCGATATGATTATTTTCATTTAATTTCATCAGATATTTACAACAAATTCTGCATTAATAGGGAGCCCAAGTGAGATGTTGCCCATTGGCATAAACCCGTAGATCCGATCTTGTGGTGAAGTGGACTGCACAAGCTCGCTTCTATGGGTCTTTGTCAGTGTGGTAATCTAACAAAATGTTATAGACAAATGCCGTTAAATAAATTTTAGTCAAGCTCCTGTTAAATTTTAGTTGATTACTTTTGAAGAATTTATATTTTTCTTTGTTTCTCATGTATATATTAACCCTCATCTGTCTTTAGAGGCAGGCTTCAATTGTCGAACACTAGGAAGGGTTTATAACATAGCCATTTAAGTTTGAATCCAAGTATAGTAAATTACTTAAGAAACTTGAATCTTTCTAGCAGGGTTTGAAACATGGTCTGAATAGATCCTGTTCAGATACTTAAGTTCACATTATAGTGGTTAGTATACCTCATTGACTTCAATAAGGAAATTAAAGGTTATAACTGGGATTTATGTATTACTATTGAGCTGTTTTCTCTTGAAAAATGAAGTTGAATGCTATTTCTTTTTAATATTATTAATTACTGGGAGAACTATGCCAGGAGAGATGTCAGAGGACATTTTGTATGACCTGTGCTGGAAATCCAAGAGGTTAGGATAGTCCTAGGAGACACATACTAAGTTCATTGGTGAAATGTTAGCGTATTATATCTACATCCTTGCCAAGCCCGTAGGTGTATGGCCGCCATATTTGGAGGAGCTGACTGAAGATATGATAAGGAGTTTGAAGCAACATTGGAAGCTGTGTGCATCCGGGTTGAGGTAGTAGGTTGTATGGTTTAGAGTTACACCCTGGGAGTTAACTGTACAACCTTCTAGCTTTCCTTGGAGCACACTTGAGCCATCGAGGAATCCTTCACCACTTTAATCTGATCAAGCCAATTTCTGTGCAAGAAGGTAATGTGTCATGAGTATTTTGGATAATTAATTTGAGGCTTTATTACATTAAAATGATCTTTTCATCCCTAAATACTAGATTATTCCATTTGAATCTTCTTATAAAAATTGGCAAGATGGTATTTCTAATAGGTTGTTACTTTATGAGCGAACATTTTTAGGAACTGGTGAGCAGTGACTTAAACTGCATTGATATTGCAACTCTTCAGTCACAGATTCACAAAATTTGGCTCTTAATTTTGCAAAGGGATCATTGGTCTCTCTTTCTATTCTATTGGCTACTTAGACACTACAGTAAAACAAAAACAAAAATAAAAAACAAGTCTGCTGGTATCAATGATCTAATAGCACGTTGTCTGAGTCTTTCTTATGACACATCACTTTCTCCCTTATATTATGGTTATCTATGTGCTTGTTTATTTTTTTCCCAGTATATACTAGACTGTAAGCCCCTTGAGGGCAAAGTCCATGCCTTATTTTTCATTGTATCCCCTACAGTAGTTTTCACATAAGATCTAAATATTTATTGGATGAATGAATGGA